ATTTGATAGTGTTTCACAATTTATTGAAGAAATTTGAGCAAAGCAGATTTATGGAAGCTGTGTTAGTGAGTCAGTTCAAACTGATGTACCTAACTAAAAAATATTCAAGTCGTGTTTCTCAGAACTTAAATTTTTGCAATTCAATAATGTGCACCTTGCAAGTAAAAGTTCAAGTGATGGATGTAAATGAAAATTATGTTAAAAATAAATGCTTTATCCCTAACGTGTGTAGCTAATATCTCTTGAACCGTGCCAGACTCAACATACTTGTAAACTTGCAAATCTTTATAAGCCTTGAGCTGTAATCCAATGTAAAAACTACGGCTTTAAATTAAGTAATTCACCAAATACGTCGTGATGTTGTGGAGAACTTATAAATTTCAAGCCGTAATGACCAAGGGGGATCAAACATGGGTCAAAAACTTCAGTTTGTTTATCGTATCTGTTCCTCGTATCTCCACTAAACCTTGACTAGTATGCACTTCAAGATATAGTTATACTCATCGGACATTTGTTCTAAATAAAAATATTCTTTTTTCTCAGCCTGATAACCACCCCTGTTTATAAATGTGTAATACATAATGTAATATTCAAGCTCATTTTCACTCGCTCCGCCTATGACTGCGGCTTCTAAAATTTCCATCATTATAACAATTAAGCGTAAATGATCAACAGCAACCAAAATCCAATTGAAAAGGTAAAAAATACAAATAGACCAACGTAAAATGATTAATAATAAATTGTGTAAGGTTAGATTACACAATAGCACATGTTTAATACTGAAAGCAGTGAACTAGGCATTCCAATAACTATGATTTCGTTACAGAAATAACGCAAATGAAGTATTAAAATAAGGAATAACATTAGTACTGCATGACAGTATTTAGCATGTCCAATAACTATTGAACTTCATCGGCATTATTAATAAATATTTCAGGAAATTTTAATGTAACCGGAAAAACCACAAGTTACAAATTTAAAGGGACACGATAACAGAAGCCCGACAACATCATCAAATGTTTTTCGCCTAGTCGAACTCTTATTACTCTTTGGCTAAACTTTTATACAGGGTTCTCAAATTTTAGCATATCATTGTGCTTTAATGTTAAATATTTGATTATGTTAATATACAAGATGTAAATAATAATTTTTTTGTTCTACTTCCTTATAAAATGTATATTACGAAATAGGTTCTAATATAAGCTTGATTGAGTAATCACGTACAGATGAAAATCATGTACAAGGTCATCCAAGTATCGACATAACCATACAAAAAATAGTTCTCTCAAAGTCCTATTTTTTGCAGAAAACATGTCTTTACTAACGAGTTATCCATCCAAGTAACAAAAACACACAACATACTCAGATGTTGACAAAAATTTTAATTCAGTATAAAGATTCAGATAAAGAACCTTGACATTAATGTGAAAAACACTATCATTTAAATGTTCTCCACGGGACCTCCTACAAAGCTCAATCTTTAGAGGTAATTTCGAATGACTTTTCGGCACATTACCGGTAAGATCTCGGTCATAATTTCACGGATATTGGCTTTCAGTTGCGCAAGAGTTTGAGGATTCTTGGCGTAAGCCCGATCTTTCGTCTTGCCCCACAAAAAGAAATCTAACGGTGTTAAGTCGCATGATCTTGCGGGCCAGTTGACATCACGCAATCTAGAAATTGCGCGTCCTGAAAATTTCTCTTGCAATAGGGCTCTAACTGCCAGTGTTGTGTGACTCGTTACCTCATCCTGCTGGAACCACCTGTCTTCCAGGCCATAATCTTCAATTTCTCTCTAAAAATAATCGGTTAACATGCGCTCATAGCGCTCAGAATTGACCTTTATGTCTCTTCCTTGATCGTTTTAAAAAAAATTCGGGCCAATAACACCACCATGACCATAATGCACTCCATACGGTCACTTCTGCAGGATACAAAGGCCTTTCTGCGATTCCCTGAAGATTTTGAGAGAAAAACCACCGAGCGAAAAATGAGCCTTATCGCTGAAGAAAATTCGGTTCGAAAAATCATCAGCAACGACTTGTTCAATCACCCAATTTACGTTTGTTCTGCGTCGCCCATGGTCTTAAGTCTTAAGTTCATGAGTCAGTTGGACTTTGTACGGATGGAGCTTCAAATCCAATTGCAAAATTCGACACAATGAGGGCGGTAAGACAAGCCCAAATGTTGAGCAGCACGTAGGGGACTCGACGAATTTGGGTGTTCCTCCACACTTTGTGCAACCAAGATATTTTCAGCTGAATGAATGTTGCGATGTTGCACAGGCCTTACAATATCAGTAACCGATCCAGTCTCTTCAAATGTTTCCACTGTGTTCGAAACTGTTTGCTCTGTGGGTCGATTATGTGGACGGTAATCTGCTCGTTAAGCCCTAAACGTTGATACAGCAGAATCACCATTTTTATAGGAACATTTAATCTTTTTACGCGTTCTTCGACAGTTAAACAATTCATATTCTACCTATTCTATACCTTTGACGGATATCAAATAGCAAGGTTTTACTTTCCCAACCTCGAATTAGATAACTCGCTATAAACCGAGCTCAACAAGAATTTTTACTTTGCTTAAATATTCAAATTTATAGTTTTTCGGTTACAAACGGTTTTTGACGAGAGTTATTTTTTTACAAAACGCATTTCGAAAACAAGTAAATGTCATTGTTGCCTTTGGCCTAGAGCGCTTTTTCTTGTAGAGAGACCATCTTAAGCACTAATATTGTATTGTTGAGTTATAGATTATCAGTGATCCAAAATTGGCGATATTTTTTTAAAGGATTGACTGCAGATCACGGAGGACATATAATGAAAGTGTTGGGTTTATTTCCCGAAAATTTTAGCTCTTGAGGAAACTTTCAACTTAGCTTTTAACTAAATTTGTAAAGTTAAGCAATGGCCAAGTGGTAGTCTAATAGTACAACTAAATATTTAAAAGAAAACATTATAACACTTTTTTCATAAATTCATAAATTTTGGTAAACTTTTTGTTCTTTCGAGCCTTTGAATTTTGTAAAAAAAGATCACAGCGGCTGCAACGCATTCAAATAAATTTTAAGTTTACTTTTTGTAAATTTGCGTATAAAACAACATGTATTTACTTGCAATTAATGGGGAAACCGTATTTTGCAAAAGCGAATCATAATATTGCTGTGTATTTTAAACTCTGGCACTTTGGAAGTTATCACTTTTAAACTTCTTTCAGTATTTTTTCTGTATACCTTAAAGTGTTCGATACAGTTCTTTCAGAGGACCGAAAATTACAAAAAAGCAACTAATTGCAGTACAATTAGTAATTCCCAATTTCTAATTGAAAATTCAAGTGATTTAAGAAGAAAAAATACAGGATATATAACAGGCAAGGCATGGAGAAGTTATTTTCTGCAGACCATTACAGACCGACCTTAAATATTTCCCTCATCTCAAACTCAGAAATAACGTTATTATAGATCTTACAACGAAAAAACAATAACATGTAATATGATATGCTAAAATATTTCACAAATGTATCTATGGTAACATTGAAAAATAAAACAGGTAATGTCTTCATTGTCACTGAGTCAAGAGTTGCTAAAAGCCTCAATGGCAAGTTTTACAGAAAACGAAACAAAAGTGTTAAAAAGCAATAAACACTTTGAAATTTATTTGGAATATGTGACATTGTACAGTGTTCTCAAATTGAAATGGACGGTTCAACGACAGTATGCGTTACAAATTTCGAAAATTTGGCAAGATATGACAAGAAAATTGAATAATTGTGGTGGACCTGTCCGAGATGCTACCCACTGGAAAAAGGTAGTACATCTGTTTATCTATTTATTGACTGCACATTATGTGTATTATATCTTGGATAATTTACTATTTTGATCTTTAGTTTCTTTCTTTTATACACCGCGTGAACTTATCCTTAGCCAAATTTCTGTTTCACTTAGTTTTATCTCATGGGCTCAAATTGACTGATTAATCAGTTTTTCACGGATTCATTTAATTGATTTAATATAATACTTCCTTTCTTGGACCGTTAACCCCGTTTCCCCATCAAAACGATGTATACCGGGTGTCAATTTGAAAACTTTCAACCCTTAATATCTTTCTTGCAGGTAAAAATATGAAAAATTGGAAAGACTCGTCAATTTTATTTGTAAGGGGAACACTTTAAATTAATATTTTTATTGTTGCCTCCTTGTTTCAACCCCTTAGGAGGGGTAGATGTCACAATGATAATCTTAAATGAGGAGGGTCAAGTGGCACATCGTTTAAAGGGCTTTCAATTCTCTTTACACTAGTTACTACTTTGTTGCTTTTGTCCAGAGGTTTTCGAATAATCGGGCTTCAAAGTTACAGATACAATTTCTTCACGGACAATGTGACCAAATTGGTCCAAAGATATGCAGAAAATTTAACGAAATGTATCCTAACCTAAAGCAAATAAATGAAAAATAGAGTGTGTCGTATTTAATAAATAATAAGTATCTTCGTTTAGCGAGTCTGCAACTGCAATAAAAAATTTTTTTTAAAGTGCCGACCTTTGAACCCCTTTTAGCATCTTTCTCAAGTCCATTTTTGATATTAAAAGTCGTTATATCATTATCGAGTATCACCAATGCCCGAATTTTTTTCTATTTATTTATTATTAATTTGTGTTTATTTCAAACAAGACATATCAATAGATGCGACTGTTACTGTTTGTATACACATATTGCGTTATACATAGTATTACGTCATTAAACAGGGTGAGTTTTTATCGATGACCAGTACAGAGATCTTCGAAACTATAGCAGTTACGAAACAGGTTAAATGGACAAAGAATTGAAGTTTTGAATCGAAACCTATTTTGTTTTTGTCAAATTTGACAGCTGTCAAAATATTTTTGGGAAAAACTACTCCTAGTTCCGTTGATATTAATTTGACAGTAGTAGGAAATTTAATTCCAAACAAAATGGCATAAGACATTTCTCCAAAATAACTGAAGTTTTTGACATATGACCAACTATACTTGATTATTGCTTTACCGAATAGAACATTTTATTACGATTTCTGTGATATCTCATATCGTTAGGACTTTGTCGAAAATAAAGTGTCTGCGAACAATTTATACTTTTTCAATTTAGTTGATCTAAGTTAGTCATAGAAAATAATACAAGACATTGTTCCCATAGCACCGAATAATAACAACATCTTTAAATTTTTTACATTCAAGCTTAAATTCAACTTAGATTGCGCGACACGATTGAAACCTACATTAGATGCGAAAAATTGCTAGACGAGCCTGTGATTGCTATTTTTATTTTTTAATTTAATTAATTTAAATCGGCACAATGGACGTCTTTGGAATCAAACAAATCCGCACCACGTTGAGCAAATGTGACCACAAATTACATTTGGGTTTAACATTTGTAGCGAAATGGTAGGTTCAAAAATTCTTGGACCATTTATTTTTGAAGGCACCTTAAATGGGAGTGGGTATCCTCAATTTTTTTGGAATAACCTGAATTTTACGTTGGACGACTTAGATATAGAGACATGGCGTAATGTGCAATGGTTTCAACTTGAGGCAACAAAGCATTTGAAAATATTGATCGTCGGTCAGCAAGAAAAGCAACTTATTCAGTTTTAAAGCGTTGCAATGTTTTCATTGATAATAATGATCGACTTTTTGAAGATGTTTTGCATTAAAAATTAAAGTTTCTAGAGGTAAATTTTAATTATTATTGATATGATTTGATTTTTATAATAAACACTTTAAATGAGCAGCCGTCTTAATTTAAAAAAAGTTATTTCCAACTTTAACGTAGATGTCAAAATAAATACTGAATCATTCTGTTCAGTTGTATATCTTACACTATTTTCCATGACTAACTTTTATCAACTAAATTGAAAAAGTATACATTGTTTGCAGACACTTTATTGTCGAAAAAAACCTTACGACGTGATATATCACAGGAATCGTAATAAAACGCTCTATTCGGTAACGCAATTTTAAAAAACTAAAATTTGTGTCATATGTCAAAAATGACAGTTATTTTGGAGAAATATCTTATCTCATTTTATTTGACATTCAATTTCCTACAAGTTTTCTATTTAATATTTTGACGGAACTTGGAGTAATTTAAAAATTTACCATAAATAAGATTTTCCCAAATATCTCTTGACAGCTGTCAAATTTTAGAAAAATAGAATTGGGTTCGAGTAGAGCATTCAAAACTACAATTCTTTGCTCAGTTAAGGGGCCCCATACCTTTTTCGTAACTGGTATACTTTAGAAGATTCTTGTACTGATCATCGAAAAAAACTCACCCTGTATATTGTTACGCATTTTACAATTTATTATCTTAGTAGTATTTTCGAAAGCAAGTTCTGTCGTTTATAAGTTCATAATTTCGAGACACCTAGTATATAAAATGCAAAACATAGCTATGAAATAGGTGTTTCCATTTTGTGATTATTCGTAATTTTTTTGTTAGGTGTTTACGGAATGGAAATCTCATACTCGACGCAAGCTAAAATTCAATAAACCTTTAAACGAATTAGAAGAAAGGCTTGTGAAGCTTATCGGGCTTACTAGCAAACCAGAAAGGAAACATCAGATAAAATTGCAAAGTTACACGAACTGTTTTACAAACAAGGTGGGAGATGGATATTTAAATTTATTTTTCCGATAAGGTAATTTAATTTATTTTAGCAGGTTGGGAGCTCTTTTGTCGAAAATATGGCGATTTTATCAAACATGAAAGAGGAAACTGATATATGCGAGATTCGTGAGAGAAGCAGACGTAGTGAGACAGGAGTAATCAATTCGAACTGTACAGTACAGGAAAATAAAGCTTTGAGTGACTCTAGAAATGATACCCAAAAAAATTGCCTTACCACAGATGTGGTGGCTAATGAAAATACCCGAAATGGAATTTTGCATACTGAAGGTTGGTTTAAAACATACTTTTTAAATGTTAAAGTTTTCGTATGGCCGTAATATTGTTAAGTGTAAGCTGTTGTTACGCCATGATGGGATTTACTGTCGATGGCTCTAAAAAACATTTTATGTGATCATACATCTACACGTCATTAAGCAAACATGAGTTAACTGTTTGACTATGGACAAACCGTTTTTAAAAATTATCTTTATTACTTAACTAATTACAAGTTTACTTCAGTATGTCTTTACT